TTAATATGAAGCTTGTACATCACTGTCCCAAAAACACCGGGGTCTGATGACGCGCTTGCGAAGCGAGAGCATTTTTTGGAGTTCTTTCTTGAACATTGGATTCATAAAAGCATATATGAAAGGGTTAACCACGTTGTAAAGGAAATATGAATAAAAAACAATTTTGTTTGTTGGTAAAAATCCCATGGCAGTGAGCCAAGCCGGCAGAAAGACGACGATAAAGACAACGGTTACAACAAAAAGCATTGCTGCTGTGCGTATATTAGCCATTAAAAGTCGCTCCTTCGGGGGCACTTTATGGCGCATTGCTGCGCGTCTCATGCTGCCAGAAGAGGACGAAGCTGCAGCAACTGCGGCAGCTGCGGCCACTACGACCGGCGATGGAGAGGGACACGGCATTTCGGTGAGGAAACGCGTCTCGAGCGTCGAGTTGTCGGTGCTGGCCGGATGAGCGGTCGAGATACTGCGCAGGGATCGTGACCGTTGACGTTTTATACGCCGTGTGACGAGAAAGCGGTAAATGAGTACGTAGAGGACGAAGACGACGCAGAAGTCGACGAGAAAGAGGAACGCATATATTTTCTGGTAGATATAACGGAATCGGCGACTTAATAACACTTCACTCGGGTTACACTTGCCAATGTATTCGATGCTATAAGAGGTAACTGTCCGCTCGACAAATTGTGAAAAGTTCATATATAATTGTAGGTCATCTGTAGATAAAATTTGATCATCATACTGCCTTTGTCTTTGTATCGCATCTGATATATCCTGTAGCCCGTCTTTTTTCAGTGTTACTGCAGTGTTGTAGTATTCAGAGAATTCTTTACAAGGTGCCGAGAACATGGTGTCGGTCAGGTTATCGGCTTGGCAGTCGACAGAGATACGGCTCGTTAGGTCAGATAGTCTGCTGTCATTACCGACTCTGGTAGGTCGACTTAAATTCGTAAGAACCGTCTCGTTGGATAATTTCAGCCTGTAGACACCATGAGTGAGGCACGTAATTGTACCCAGGCCGGCGGCAAAGAAAACTAGAATAATTATTATCACCTTAGCTCGTCGCCGATTCATGATGTTTTTCAAAGAATGGCAAATGCAGAAATAGCGGTCAAATGCGATGGCTACCATCACAAAAGACGAAAGAGGGACGTTGAACGTAATCAAGAAAAGGTACGCTTTGCACAACACCTCATATTGAACGTTGAAATATATATATTCCATGATGATCGTGTAGGGAATTATGATGAGACATGTCATGCAATCGATACCGGCGAGTGATAGGATAAAGATTGTAGAGGATACTTTATCTTTCCGCTGCAAAAATACGTGAAGGACTATAAAGTTGCCAAATGTACCGACTACACTGAACACTGACAGCATCCACAAGGATGGTACCAAAAATGGGTCAAAAGGAACACCTTCTTCCGTTATGATGGTATCTTCGATTTCTAAAGATGGATACGAAACGTTGCTACTATTAGCTGGGCCACCGTCATCTGATAAGATATCCATAGCTATGGCATCAGTTCAGTTGGATACAAAATATTGGATTAGGAACACAATAATTTTTTTTTATGTTTTTTATCTGTTAATGTTTTCCATCAGCTAAGGATTATTATTTCTGTATCTTATTCGCCCGTCTTCTAAAAGAATGGCTCATATTCTATTAACAAATATTTACTTTTTTAATAATAGATTTTAAATATTAATTTTAAACTAAATCTTAATGAATCGTTAAGATTTTTGTTTTGTGTCACGTTAAATTATGATAAATTAAATATAAATTTATTTATTTCATGAAGTTAAATAAGGTAACATTCAAAGAATAAGTACGAAATTTACGAATAAATGGATTATGGACGATTATGCAAAAGTGATTCTTTACTGTACTGTATTTAATGACAAACAAGAAATTCACATATACAATATAAATTAGAAATTAATAATAATAATGAAGACTTTAAAAGAAAAAGTTTCTCTTATTCTTTAAAACATTTAGAAAAATTAATTTTGATATTAAAACAAGAAGGTACATGCGAACAACTCTAGAAGTAATATAGAGAAATATATTTCATTAAATTGATATAGAATCTGGTGATCTAATATTTCAGGGATGAAAATATGTTGTTTTTTTTTTTTTTTACAAAAATTACTTGCGTCTTAATGCAATCATTTAAGATGGGAGATGTAATTATTAAAAGTAAATTTGGTTCAAATGGATCATATTTCGCAAGAATATCATTAGATCCAGAACTGAGTATTAAAACTGATTCTCGTATACTTGACGACAGTCCATATAGTCTCTTAGGTGATTTTTATGTGCGTATTGAAAGTATAATTGTGCTGGCCTTTGTTTAGCAAATAACAGAATGCACAACCATTCAGGTTTGTCAATATATGATTTCTTATGAAAGAATAAGACGTAGGAAAATATGTACAAATACGTGTTTCACGATACGTTGCAGTAGACAGTCTTTTTAACGTGTAGCTTACATTCGTTTATTGACTTAATTATTCACGAGGTGACAGGCTTGAGAAATTCCCAGTAATCAATATATTGCATGAAAACTGTTTGCATGAATCCACGTTAAATTCAATCATTTTCTTACTGAAGGTAAGATAGATGAATTTAATCCAATCAGTATATTTGAGAAAATAGAATCAATTTGGTGCTTAAGAGCCAATTAAAATAAAACTTTAATATCTTCTGCACTTTCTGGTACGAGAAAGTATCGACGAGAATTACTTGAAAATCGCGGGATCGAAATGGAGAAAGATACTTTCTTGAAATCATGTTAAAAGGTTTCCAAAAAGCACCAATCGATAGTTCCTTTCTTATTCAAAGGTTAAAGGTCGAATCCGTTTCTTTTGCACACATCAGGCGTTTTCTGAAAAAGAAGAAAGGAATAACTTATTAAATTAGCTAATAATAATAATAATAATAATAATTTTTAAAATACACACAGACAGAATAATCATAGCCACTCGCTCTGACATCATGATTAGAGACCACAATGAAAAAATATGCCTCCTTACTAACATGACAGACTGTAAACTGAAATGTATCTTTGAAGATCTTAAAAAAACTATCAAAATACAAAGACCTTGAAATTGAAATCTCAAAAATGTGGCGCATGAGGACAGTAATTCCAGTTGTTGTTGGAGCCCTCGGATTGATTGGAAAAGATTCCAATAGATTCATTGAAGGAATCCCCGATAGCGCATGTCTTAAAGAAATACAAAAAATTGTACCCACAAGTACAGCCCACACCTTACGAAAGGCTTTACCTATGTAAATATGTGCGATTTTTTTAACTGTTCAGTGGAAAATATAATGATGCCATTTCTGAACTTATGTCTCTGGTCGGAACCCGGAAGAAATGAGTATACATCAGAAACGAAAGGAATAATAATAATAATAATAATAATAATAATATGGAAAGGTAAATTGAGCTGGATGATAAACGAAATAAAACTAGTTGGAAACTGGTATGATCATCGTCCTGAGTCTGCATTTGAGGGAGCAGATGTTACCATCCTTTGGGATTTTTATATCAACACAAACCGAACAATACAAGAAAATCGCCCAGACATTATTATGAAAGACAGAAAAGAAAATGTTTGCATACTTACTGACATGAGCGTGCCAAATGGCAAAAAAAAAAAAAACATATCTGCGATGGTTTTTGAAAAACCAAATAAATACAAATGTATGGAGATAGAAATAAAAAAAAGAAATCTTGTACTTCAAAGCTAAAACTTTTCCTGTTGTGGATGAAACGTTAGTTCTGATAAAGAAAATAATTCAAGTCAACAAAATCCCTAGAACATAATTTCTCCAAGAAATCAAAAAAATACTTCTAACAAGCACAGCTCATATCCTACGAAGAGCTTTATCCATTTTTGTTAATACAGTGTAACCCGGATATAAGAGACCCGGATATAAGAGAAACCCGGATATAAGAGAGATTTTCTCTGGTCCCAAATTGTTCCCATACTTACCTAAACAAAATAGACAAAACCCGGATATAAGAGAAACCCGGATATAAGAGACTTATCCGGTCCCGACAACTCTCTTATATCCGGGTTACACTATAGCTGCTTTTTTTTTTACTTAAATGAAAACACCATTTTCTTGCATAAAGTCGTTGGTTAAAGCTCCCGCATAAAACAAATGCAGGTCAAAAGGGCATGGCTATCAGGGTTTCTGATCTTGATAAAATGTGTTAAGAGGTACACGCTTTTAAACATGAACTAGGTCAGTGACAGTATCAGAAATTTGATTGCTATTTGTCGGCACATTGTGCATCACTGTTCATGAACAGGAATGACAGAGAAGCATTATGGCTTCAGCGGGTTGCTTTGTTCATAAAAGCATCTGGAAACAATCTAATCAAACTTGGTTACCTAAGTCGAAGGTACTTCTAACTGAGTCCCAGCTGCAAGATTATGCACAATTGGCTGTGATACATATGTCTGTTATACCCTTAACAAGACTTGGGGACACGATGCGTTTCATATATTTGTACCCTATATAACCCTATTTCAAGTATAATGCGACCCCTGAATTGTTTAGGGATGAACCTGATTTTCCATCAGCTCGTGTATAAAGCGTCACCACCCGCTAAGCTAAACGAGTAAGTCTACCGTTGTAAAATATGGACATTATCTTAAATGTATTTTAATAACAAATAAATGGTCTTCATTCTTACAAAGCTACCCCAATATCGCAAGTAAAAAAAATAGTTACTATAGAATATTTGAAACAACGATTTAGATACCGTACTTTTGTTTTCGTTTCGTTTAGATACCGTACTTTTGTTTTCGGCTACGGAAGGCAGGCTTACCTGCACCGTTAAGTTTAGCCAATCGGATCCCGAGCCGCTATCCATTACGACACCGTGTGGCACACTTAAATGAAGTCCTTGTGACATCGTGGTATAATTTGAGCGAAATAATAGAGAAGAGGACATGCTCTTTAACTGAGTAGAGATTAACGACTATGGTGAAAGCAAAAGGCGGACATTTTAAATTTAGAATATATGTAAAATATTGTCAGTAAATCTAACAATCAGGCTGTAAAAATTCACTAACCAAAACATACAACTTTTTCTACTTTATGATAAAACGAATAAACGGTTAGATGTATACATGGCTCCCGGCAGAATGTTGAAAGGTAATAGCTTGACAAAAATGAATATCCAAGATTGAAATAAGTTTCTGTTTTTTTCAAAAAAAAAGTCTTTAAACCTTTAACTGTTGTTTTCCTCTTTCGTCAGAGTTCTATCGAGAACCAAAAAAAAAAAAAATGTACAACAAATAAAATAGAAAAACACTAGATAGGATGTTATATGTATATTTTTAAGCAAATTAACCCCAAGCAAGACAGTAGTTGCAGGCTTAAATTTAAGTATTAATGAAACTGTTAATAATCAGAAAGGAATTTTAGATTATTTGCATAGCTGTGTCAATACATCTGGGTCGGCATTAGCTGAGTATTTATTAAATGACCATCAATGTGCTCGCTCCTATAACGAAGACATGTCCTCGATACTGAGGAAGGATAATTCGAATTTCCATTTAAAAATGTTAGAGGAGGTTTTATATATATATATATATATATATAAAGAACAACATTTCAGATCAGTCTTAACATTGTTCGAGCAGTAAAGAAATGCGTGGATTCACTGAAAGGTAATAGACTAGCAAACATTTACTTAGCAAAGATTGTGCTAACATCATATATTTAAATAGGAGACTCTTCGGTTTACGGCCACATCACGTTGAAACACCAGTACCCGTATGATCATCGAAATTAATTAACATCAAGACTGCTCTGTATCTAGATGGGTAACCGCTTAGGAATATCAGGTGCTGTAAGCCTGGGTGTGCGGATGGTGCAAATGATAATGGCTTGGATGATTTAAGCAGCAAGTCGAGTACGAATTCCAGTTTGGTTCGTTATATTCAGTTACGCGCAAATACCCTCGGAAAAGGTATGAATTTTCTCCCCTAGATATGGGTTAATTAGTAAGACGTGTATCATGAAACCTTAATTATCTCCCAACCCTGCAAAAAATCTTACAATCTATTTTTTTCTGGTTTGAAATAATCTACAAAGAGTTGGT